GGATTTGTGGCATCATGTGTCCTCAGCAGTAGGAAACATTCAATGCAGTGCTGCAGACTGAGACCCTAGGGTCGTGCTGTCTGCTGGTCTACGCTCTTGACGTGTGGCCCACAACATGGAGGAGATGAGGATAAAAGTCTGCACAAGGCCATGAGCTGAAAGCAAGGAATGCCCACAAAACAGATCCCTTAGCAAGTGCTTCAGAAACATGTGCTCCCAGAACCATTCCACACACTGGACAGCCTACAAATCACTTAAACCAGGGCAAACAGCCCCAAGGCACAGAGCAATAAGCAGAGCTGGAGTGGGGCAGAGGAGGGAAGGCTTCCTGGAGGAGACCATGTTGGGTCCCAATTTTAAAGGAACAGCTACTGAACCTCAGGGAAGAGAGGAGATAGGCAAAGCCCACAAGAAGAGGAGCAGGTCATTAAGTGCCAGGTGGATAGACGTCCTCATGAGGATTTAATGAGAACAAAGTTAGGAAGAAGAAAAGGTGGTGGGAAGCATCTCTCCAAGCAAATCAAAACCTGGAACTTAAGGTTTCATTTCATTAAAATTTAAAACTTATAGAAGCTTGGTGCCAGTGGCTTATTCCTACAATCCTAGCTACTCAGGAGGCAGATATCAGAAGGATCAAAGTTTGAGGCTAGCCCAGGGAAATAGTTTGTGGGCCCCTATTTCAAAAATACCCAACCAAAAAAAGGGCTGGTGGAGTGGCTCAAGTGGTAGAGCACCTGCCTACCTTTTGCCAGGTGTGGGTGATACACACCTATAATGCCAGCACTAAGGAGGCTGAGGCAGAAGGATCATGAATTGGAGGCAAACCTGGGCTACACAGCAAGACCCTGTCTCAAAACAAACACACAAACAAAAAAACCAAAGCAAAACAAAAAACCCTAAACTTTTGTGTTAAAAAGGCACCATAAACAAAGTCATAAAACCAGTGATCAGCTGAGAGAAAATGTTTGCAACAAATGCTGTCTAGTCTATATAAAGAGTTCCTAGAAATCAATAAGAAAAAATTCCTTCAAAAAATCCACCAAGAAAGTTGACAGTAGGTACAAATCAATAGGCCCATGGAGGCAGCAGCTCTATGAGAAAGATGTCCAACCTCATAATAAGGAAAATGCAAATTAGAACAGCAATGAAATGTTTCTCACCCATCGGGTTGACAGACAACAAAAGGATTGCTAACACCGCGCACAGGAATGTGTCCAAGAAAAGACATGCTCGAACTCTGAGCATGAGCTGGAGGACCAGTGAGGCCCGGGATACCTGACAGAGGAGAGGTAGGCAGGGGAAGTCCACCTTGCAGACAAGGTGAGCAGCCCAGGGTAGTGAAATCCAGGAGGCAGAGAGGACTACAGACCTAGGACAAGGCTCCAAACCACAGTGGAGATCCCAGAGAGCATGTGCGTGGACAGCGCTCTCAGAATGACATGGATTCCACCCACAAAGGGACATCTCAGAGAGGAAGGGGTCTTTCCCAAGGAGAAGTGAGGATTCAGGGCTCAAAGGCAAATCTGTCTACCGCTCCAGGGAGCTAGGATGCTTGGATCTGCTGGGCCTGTGACAACTCTGGAGCCAGGTTCAAGCACTTACCCTGACCACTGATGGCTGACCCACGTTCTTCACTTCTATCACTGCTCCACTGTGCTGAACTGACTTTCACACAAATTAGTTTCATTTTATCCTTGCAGTCAGCTGATGAGGCAGGAGCTGTTGTCTATAGCCAAGGAAAGTGAAGTCCAGAAAGGTTAAGTCACCTACCAGTGGCCCCCCAGCTGATAAGTGGTGAAGCTGGGCTTTGAAATTTAGGCTGTCCTTGTCATCTGAATTGTGTGTGTATGATTCATTCCGAGGTTGCATTCACACACAGAGGGCTATGCCTGGAGGTTGAAAGGTACGTGATATCTGGAGAGATCAACTGGCATTGACCTCAGTGGCAGAGTGACACATGAACAAAGCATGAGTGAAGGAGGACATTGCAAAGGTGATTTAGCCCCGGATTGCTCAAGTGCAATCAGCCAAATCACTCATGAAGGGAATCTGACAGTCGCTCCAGAGTCAAAATGGGTCTGCCTGCCTCCCCAAGCCGCCTGGATGTGCCAAACATCGAGTGTGTGAAAATTTGCTCAACTCCGCTAATAATGATTAAAAAGACAAATTGAAACAAGATTCAAGTTTCTCCCAATCTGATTAGCAAAGACTGAAGAGAACAATAATGTCCCACTAGCAATGTCAAGAATACAAGGAAATAAGTTCCCACCCACTTAGTGAGTCTGTAAGGGGAAGTAGAAAACCACTTCCCAGGACACGGGCCAACATTGTAAATGTCCACATCTTTGGACTCAATGATTCCTATTCTGGAAACTCATCATAAGGACAAGTACACAAAATATACGTCAAAGAATACGCATGCAGTATACTTTATAATAGCAGCCAAACTAAACCCAAAACCAAAACAAAAAGGAACAACCTAAAATTCCATCAATAAGAGACTAGTTAACACAAGTACCAGCTGGCACACTATAATCCTAGTACTCAGGAGGTTGGGGCAGGAGGATCTCAAGTTCAAGACCAACTTGGGTTGCATAGTGAGACCCAGTCTTAAAAAACCAAAACCAAAGTACCATTCAGTCCCAACAGGAAATAACACGCAGCCATCAGAGAAGATAGTGTGGATCTCTGTGTATTCCCAAGAAAAGATGCTGTGGAATGAGAAAGGTCATTTACAGACTAGGACACATGGTATAAACCAATTGACATATATAAGTATTCATGTACATGAATGAATGTACAATTATAGCATGAATTAGATCATATTTTTACATATTCATACATACACATATGTACTTATGAGGCAAACCATCCTAGAGGATGTGCACTGACTCATGGTGACTATTCTTCTGGGTTGGTGGGGGGAGGGACAGGTGAATTTTAAATTATTAAAAATTTAAAATTATTAAATTATTAAAGCAATCATAAATTAGCAGAAAATACATTTCTCCTGGTGATCAGGGATGAGTAGAATCCTAACAGAGCCATCTTGCTTGGATTGGGTCCTTAAGGCTCCTCCCCAGGCCGAGTTTTTAGATGTAGCCTCTGGTGGGTGCAGTGGTACACAACTGTAATCCCAGTTACTTGGGAGGCAGAGATTGGGAGAATCACCATTTGAGGCCAGTCTGGGCTATAAAGTTGGTGAGACTCCATCTCAACCAATAAGCTGGGCTTGGTGGTGGGCACTTTATCCCAGCTACTTGGGAGGCATAAATAAGAGGATGAAGGTCCAGTCTGGCCTGGGCAAAAATATCGAAAAATAACTAAAGCAAAAAGGGCTAGGGGGCATGGTCCAAGTGGGAGAGCACCTGCCTAGCAAGTGCAAGACCCTGAGTTCAAAACGCTCAGTTCTGTGCACTTCACGGGAAGTTCTGCCGGATGGAACGCTGCATGGGAAGGCCCTGGCTCAGAACTCTTGTCAGCATTTAGTGTGAACCACTGTAGAACACCAGTCCTGCGTCTTCCTCCCAGACTGGCCTGTGGACACCACTGAGAAAGCATCATCTTTGTCCTCCCACCTCTCTGCCCATCTTGGGGCCTCACACAGAGGCAATGAGCATTTCACGCATGGAGCGAGTATTTCATGAGCCCCTATGAAAGACCAGCCCTGGGCTGGTGCTGTGGATACACAGGTGACCACAGCAGGCCAGAGCCTTGCATCCAAGGTCTTCCAGCCTCACTGGAATTTACTGAATAAATAAATGACTCATATGTGAGTGATTGACCCATGAAATGAACATTCAGTGGGTGGGAGACTTGACCTAGTGACTGTGAACGTGAGGTGCTGGCCTGGAGTGGACGCACCAACCTTGTCCCATGGGAGCAGACAACTCTGTTCTCAATAAACAACAACAACAACAAAAACAGAACAGTGATAGCTTTCTAAACTCATTTTGTGGGTTCAGTTTAAAGCATTCTCTGATCATATGGCCAATATCATTTTAATGGACAAAAGTATTTGGGATAGGGCAGGAGATGTGGCTCAAGCCGTAGAGCGCCTGCTTTACAAAGCGTGAAGTCCTGAGTTCAAACCCCAGTCCTCCCCTCATCAAAAAAATACTTGGGATACAACACACTTATGTAAATAAAAACTTGGGATATAACAGCATATATGTGTCTTACATGTGTGTGAAGTGAGTTTTTTAATACATTAAAAATATCATAAAGCCAGTCACGGTGGTGTACCCCTATAACACCAGCACTCAAGAGACTGAGGTACGAAGTTTTTGAGTTCCAGGACAGCCTGAGCTACACAGTAAGACACTCTCAAAATAAATAAATAAATAAAAATTAAATTAAAATACAATATTTACAAAACCCTCAAGTTTGGAAAAGCACAGCTCTGGAAGTAAGCTTGCTGTTTTTGTTCATTTTGTTTTGCTCTAAGAAACAAAGAGATTGCTAGGAAATTTCAGACTCTTAAGTATCACTCACTCGTTCATTCAGCCAGTAAGTACTAAGCACATCAGTGAGGCAGGCACTTTTATAGTGAATTCAGTATTCATGACCTTAGGATCCCAAGGAACTAAGAGATTGAGGGAGGGTGGGGGCAGAGTCAGAGGAACAGCCATAATAGGTGAGAAGACAGACAAGACAGACAGACAGTGGTACCCCAAAGACATTCATATCCAAATCCTCGGGATGTGTGAATGTGCTAGGATATGTGTGCCATGCCCCCTTCCTAAGAACCTGAAAACAGTGGCTGCTGTGGCAGGTGGCCTGGGTTTGAAGCCCTGTTGACCACGGTTTGAAGAATACCTCCATGCCCTTGGCAACCAGGTGTCTCTCTACCTGCCGGCATCTCAGCGCTTCTGTGCCTGCATCCATATACCATGGGAAGGAAATTCTTGCCCCACAGAGCTGTTGTGAAGATTCAAGTGACACCAGCCCCTGGCACACAGCAGGTCCAAACCTCCGTCCCCCCTCCATAACACCTGTACCTGATGCCCAGATGGACCCAGCAACCCGGTTGCTTGGTTATGCGGGCCCGTGGGATCCGGGGACAGGGCAAGGCCAGGGGGACCAGGGCCAGTCTCTCCATCCAGGCAGCAGGGAGAAAGGCAGACTGTGTCATGGCTGCCACACTGCTGCTCTGGGGCTGACAGAATCACAATGTGAGCAGGAGGAAGGAGGCGGGGCCCAGAGGCACACCTGTTCTCAGACACCCCCACACCTGGATAAATGCCCAGCTTCCCTGGGGTGGAGCTGGCTCAGACAGGGCTATGTAAGGTAGGTACACACACACACACCCTGGGTCCTGCCCACTTGTACCGGATCTGTGAATAGAAATGGCACCTCTAATGACAGTCATGAGCTGGGCATGGTGGTTCACACCTGTAATCCCAGCATTTGAGCGGGTGAAGCAAGAGGATCATGAGTTCCAGAGCCTGAGTTACATAGCAAGACCTTGTCTTAAAAACTAAACAAAAACAAAATTGAACTGAATGAACAAATTACCCAGTTAATGTGAGAAAAGCACTGTGACCCAGGGCTTTGCCCTGGCTGCACCTCCCTCTGAGCTCCTCTGTGGAATGGGAATAGTGACATTTGCCAGAGCTAGGAAACAAGCAGGCAGGACAGTGCTAAGGGTGAGCAATGGATAGGCTTTGGGGACAGGGTTATGGATCCTAGGGAGCAGCCCCCAAGAGTGGCAGAGTGGGGACCTGCAGAAGGGCCTCCTGGGAACTGGCATTTGGGCTGGTGCTGGCTGGGGAGGGGAAGCTGGGGACCTTAACTACCTGGTCTTTGAAAGGGAAACTCATCCATCATTCAGCAAGAATTTATGAGGCCCTGCTGAGGACAGCTGCGGAAAGGCTTCCTGGTGGAGCTGGCATCTCAGCCAAGATGAGAACTGAAGCCTGAAGGCCAGGGAAGGCAGGAGAGGGGAGGGCCTCCCGCAGAAGTCACAGAAGGGGACTCGGATGTGTAGGGAACATTCATCCCAGCTTCCCTGGCATGCTTCCTATTTCTGCACCTGCTGTGGACCACAGTCCCTCTTCCCAAACCGAGACAGAATGCCATGACTTCTCCAGGTTGTCCTGGCCCTCCTTGCCCTCCTCGAAGGCTCTGGGTGTCAGTGGCCTTCCCAGCAGCCTATGTGCCTGTAAGCAGAGCAGTCCCAGGGTGCTCCTCAAGGAGGGGCCTCTGGTCCATAGGGATGCAAGCACTGAGGGATGCACAGTCCTGGATCAGTCCATGGGAAAGGCCCTACAGGATAAAGGGCCCTCAGGAAACTCAAGTCGGGGTAGCCATCACTGGCTTGGACAGGCTGTACCGATAAGGGCTGTCTTACTTTTCTTGGTCTCCTCCTTAGGAAGAGACAATAGAACCACTCTGCTAGAAGGCCAAAGAGCTGGCGGTCCCTCTGAGGCTGAACTGCCCCCACAAGTGTGTAAGTTGAATCAGCAGCAAAAATGAGTGCAGAATTACAATGGAAAATGCTTGGGACTTTTTGTGTGGAACGTGGTAGGAACTTAATAAAGGATGGATGGATGGGTGGGTGGGTGGGTGGTTGAATGAGTGGATGGGTGTGTGGATGGATGAGGAGGATGGATGGGTGGGGGATGATGGGTGGGTTGGTGGAAGAATGTGAGGCAGGATGGAGAAATGGGTGGGTAAGAGGAGAGATGTGTAGAATGCCAACTGAATGGGAGATGGCTAGTTGATGGACAGGGAGATGGGTTGGTGGAAGAGCGAGTGGCTGTGTACATGAAAATGAGAAAGCACAAGTGAGTGAATGAGTGAATCTGAACCATTAGGCAAGTCAGGTGTGTGAATGAATGATTGAATGAATACTGGAGTGAGCGAACAAGTTAGTGCCTGCGTAAATGAACATCTAGTCTGGAACTGCAAATCTACCTCATTGTCACCTCCCTTTGTTCCAGGGAAGAAGGCAAGAAAGAGAGCAAGCAGCCTGGATCCTGGCAGGCTGCACTGTGGAGCCTGTGACAGGAAGTGCTGCCTCCTGGCTCCTGGAGAGCCATATGCCCTCAGAGTGAAGCCTGGAGGAGTGAGTGTGCCATGCCTCTGCACCCCAGCAGCATTCCTGAGCCCCACTGACCCTGTCATTGCCCTGGAGTATCGGCCAGGCCGGTTAGGTCACAGAGTGACTCAGATCCATTGGCCCTGCACCTGGCAGCCCACCAGCACCTCCCTGGGCAGCCTGCCATTGAGCCAACCCTCTCCCTTTTGCAGAGGCTTGCTTCATGCCCCAGACCCAGAAGGGCCCCTAGGGTGTGCATGTGCTTGCCCAGCACCTACTCTCTGCCTGTGGGTCCCTCCACATGTTCCTACTCCCCATGACAGTGCTGTCCCACTCAAGCCAATGTAATGGACCTCATCAGCCTGGGGTTCATCTTCAGTTTTGCCACTTAGGCTGGGAGACTTCCGGCAAATGCCTTAACCTGAGTCACAGCTTCCTCAACATTGAAATAAAAATCTTGCCTGTCTCAGGGGTGGTTGTGAGGCATCAGGGGAGTCACGACAAGCACTTAGATGGCGCCTGGCACACAGGTATCCAGAGCGCCTCATTGCCACAGGCACAACTTTGTCTTCCACAGCAATGTCAAAGTTTGCTCGCCAAGCATTGTGCTCAAAGCTCCCATGCTTAAACTGTGTCCCCCAAAGAGATGTTCAAGTCCTAACTCTAGATCGGAGCTGGATGAGGCTGGCAGAGACCAGGTCCTCCTCCAGGCCTAAGAAGGAGCGCAGCAGCCCACAGTGGTCTTGGACTTCCAGGTTCCACACATCTACACATCCACACTGGGTGTTGCTGCTGTTCAAAACACCAGGCTTGTGCCTTGTGTTACAGCACCATGAGAAATGAATGCACAGGGGAATGTCCCCATTGTGCAGATGGTGACTGAAGGCTCAAACAGATGGCAGTGGAAGGCTGAGGGCATGCACACAGGATTCCAGGCCCTGGGCTCCCAGGGCTGAGGGGGAAGGCAAGGGAATGCCAGGGCTGGATGAAAGATCCAAGACCATCAAATGGACCTTGCTGATGTCCTGCAGTGTCCCCACACTATGCTGGTGGACTGTCCTCACGGCCTCCTGGCTCCTCAGGCTTGGCAGACATCCCTTGTTCTGAGTTTGCATGTATTTCCTGCAGACATCAATGGCACAAACTAAAGCAGCCTCAGAGTCTAGGTTCAGCTGAGGTTCACTGTGTATCCTGGGAAACATTTCAGTCAGACTCCCCCAAAATGGACTACTTCCTGTCTGTGTGACTTTTGTCCAGTTACTTAACTTCTCTGAACCTCAGCTTCCTTAGCTGAAAACTGAACTATGCCCCCAAATGATAGGGTTGTTTTGAGAACACATTGGGGCTTTTCCAAGGCCCAGAACCTTATACCACCCACCATCCATCCTCGACCCCCCAGCCTGGAGTGGGATTGGCACTGTGGACCAGGTCCTGGCTCTGGAGTCTCTGGGCCTGTGTTCAAATTCCCACTCTCCCAGTGTGACTCTGAGCAAGTTACTTTTCTGCTCTGTGCCTCAGTTTCTCCTTCTGTAAAACAGGGATAACCAAAGATCCTACTTCATAGGATTTTTGTCAACCACACTCATGCATGTGAAGCACATAGAAAAATGCCTAGCACACACAGTAAGTGCTCACCAAACACGGCACTTCCTATTACAATGAGGAACATGGTAGGCAAGCTGTAGACATTATTGGATGAGCACTGGCTATTCAAATCCACCTGAAGTCTAATCAGGGAGTTCACAATCAGATAATGGACACTCAGAACAAATCCCACCCTTTGAATAGATGGGGTCAGGGGGAGCCTGACTGAATGGACTTGAGCAGGCCCAACAGGTTTGTCAGGAGTCTCTTGGACACAGGATTCCCCTCATTTTTTTTAATGTGGACCCGCAGCCTCTGGTGCAGGCCTGCCCCAGCACTGCTCTGAGTTCAGTGGGCCAGCCACTCCCAGCATGCCTGCTCACGCTGGGCTCCTTCCCGCAGGGCTGGTGGTCACTTGTGATGATGGACAACAGCTGGTTCCACTTGGTGATTTCCCTGAGGAGGAGATGGATTGGGGGCCCAATGGAAGATCCTCAGTCACCAAAGTCCTCTTCCCTCCCTGGAGTGCTTCGCTCATCCACTTCTGCCCTGGTCCTGCTGAGCAAGCCAGAAACAAGTGGGTGGTTAGGTCTAGGGTTGTTGGAGTGAAGGAGTGAGACACAGATCAGTGATGGGGAGGACAGGGCTCTGGATAGACGGGCAAGGGTCTTTTTGTTGTTGTTGTAAAGTACAAAGCAAGTGCTCTACCACTTGAGCTATGCCCCCAGCCCTAGACAGAGTTCTTTTGTAGGGTCTGAACATCACTTTTTCTTGCCCCACTCATTGTACAGACAGGAAAGGCTACATATGGGGACCCATTAAAAAGTGAACATGTGAGGCCTCTTATTCAAAGATTAAGAATTTGGGGCTGAGGGTTTGGCTCAGTGGTAGAGTGCTTGGTTAGCATGTACAAGGCCCTAGCTTTAATTTCTGGCAGTGAAAAGAAAAGAAAAAAGGAAAGGGAAGGGAAGGAATGGAAAGGAAAGAAATCCAAGACAAAAACAGCAGAGCATTAACCAAGCATGGAGCCCTCTGAGCCTGGGATCTTGTGTGACTTTACTGTTATGAAGCCAGCCTTGTGTGCATATGTGTGAATTTTTCAGGGGACAGGTCCTCCACTGTCAAGGTTGTGACCTGTAAAGATTAAGTAAGACTTTTTGTCCTTTTTTTTCCCCAGAAAAATTGAACAGGTTTATTTATAATGGTTATGAAGTTGAACTGTTGAAACTTGTTCACTGAGTTTGTAAGACTTTTTGTCACTGAAATTCAATGAGGGTTCCTGCTTCTTAGCCAACCTCCTCCTCCACTCAGACAGCATAGAGAATGTGGTGCCCTGGACAGGGTTCAGAATGGGCAGGCTATGGTGGCAGTGGGGACAGAGAGAAGTGGACGCAGGAAAGGTGACAGTGAGAATCATTAGGACTTGCTCCTGGCTAGACGTGGACCAGGAAGGTCAGGCTGGAGTCTACTCCCAAGGGTGGTGCTTTGAGCAGCTGGATCAGCTGTTGGTAGAGGAAGGAAAGCCAGCAGAAGGACTGGTTGTTGTGTTTTGCTTTATTGGGTGGCAGTGGAAATCAAGAATCCCATTCTAGACATGGGAAGATGTGAAGCAGGCAGGTAACAGAGCCCAGGAGGATCAGAGTGATATATGCATGTCTAGGGGTCACAGGACTAGAGATGGCACCAACTCCATTGGAATGGGTGAGGCTTGGTGGGTGCAAGAGCTCTGTTACTTTGGGAAAATTATTTAATTACCCTGGTACCCCAAGTTCCTATTTGTAAATGGAGAGTTTCATAATAAAAGTGTGAAAAGGAAAACACTCAGCCCAGGCCCTAGTAGCTTTCAGCCCATCATTAATATTAATATTATGTCATTCTTTCTACAAATATGTATTGAGCACCCATGTGTGTCAGGCAGTGCTTGGGGTGCTCAGTCAGATACCTCAATTACCTGGTGTGCTAGAAGGTGACAAGTGACATGACAAAGGAAAAGTAGAGCAGGGTAAGGAATGGGGAGGGTACATTGCAATATCAAATGGGGTGGGGTTGAGGAGCCCTCTGGAAAAAGTGACATTTGAGCAAGACCTTGGAGGTGAGAAAGAGCACCAAGCAGTTGTACAAGGGAGTAGGGTTCCAAGCAGAAAGAAAGCCAGTACGAAGGGCCTGAGGAGAGGGGTGGGGCGAGGTCATGGGGTACATGTAGGGGGCCTTTGAAAGGGAACTGCATGGCAGACAGCAACCTCTCCACAACAGTGGAGAGACTGTCCCCAGAGTGGCAAGGGGGCAGACCTTCAGTTCAGTGAGGCAGCTTGCCCCAACATGGCAGCTGCCCAGGCTTCAGGCAGACCCAGGGACTTCCCCCGTGAAGCCCCCATCCCCTAGAAAGGCCTTACCTGGCAGAACAGCCTCACAAGCAGAGCTATTCCTCCTCTTGGCTGTGGAGTGTCCCCTCCTGGCAAGACTCGGCCAGGCCTTTGCTCCAGGGTTCCCAAGTGAAGCATAAATCCGAGTCATTTTCCTGTGAATCTGTGGAGATCCGAGACATGGCTTCTGGAGTGCTCACGTCCTGTCTCCCACCTCAGCCCACAAGAAGTCTCCTGCTGCAGGCACAACTGTGAGTTATGGGTCAGCCCCAAGACCTCACAAAGACTTCAGGGCCTTGGATGGCAAATGGGGACCTAGAAAGAAAGTCGTCCTGTGGCCCAGAAAGTGGCCAGATCCATCTACTAGAAAAGACCCTAGAGGCGGGCAAATGACCTTTGTATTGAGTGTGGTCCAGGGAGAGACATGAAGCAGGACACACACCCAGTCATTGACCTGTTCATTCATTTACCTACTAGGTTGTTCATGAATGAATATCCGTGCAATGATTTCCACTGCAGCACCCACACGTGAGCAAAAGAATCCCTGAAAGCATGTGCAAGTCCACCATGAGAGATATGGGTGATCTCACCCTGAGGCATGCTTCATTCACCCAATGGCATCACCTTTCAACTTGCAGGATGACCACAGTATGTTACAAGCAAGTTGCAGAGAAGTGTATCTGGTAGAACCTCTCTCGTTTTATGAATATCACTCCCTCCATCCATCTGGTTTTCAAAACCTACATGTTAAGCATGTGCGTGAGTTTGCGAACCTGACTTACCCTGGGAAGGCCAGTTAAAAAGAGAGGGAATGGGAATTTTCTTCCTGTAGTCTTGTTTTACTGGTTGCAGATAAATAAAGGAGGCTGAATAGAACCTTCAGATTATAACCAAGAGCAAGAAATAGGAAAAGCTGAGCCTCGACTTCCTCGTATATATAGTGGGCATAATAATAGCATCTTTTATGGTGAGCATTATCAGAGGTAAAGCATGTAAATAAAACTCAGCACAGGTCTACATCAGTATTTTGCAACATCATCCTGACTTAAAAGTCAGGGGCTGGCAGCATGGCTCAAGTGGTAGAATACTGCTAGCAAACATGAGGCCCTGAGTTCAAACTCCACTACTGCCAAAAAAAACAAAAAAAGGAAAGAAAAAAAACCATGATGGCTTGAGTAGGGACTTCACTAGAGATAGGAACTCGTTTTTGCATCTATGCTACGTGTGGAGTGTGTAAACATGTGTTTTCACAATTAATCCTTTTACCAACTTCTTGAAGGCAGTTACTACAGGCTGAATATCCCTTATCTGAAATGCTGAGGACTAGAAATATTTCAGATTTTGTGGCTTTTTTTTCTTCAGATTTCAGAATATTTGCATAGATTTTACTGGTTATGCATCCTTGATCTGAAAATCTGAAATTCTTCAAAATCCAAATCTTTTTGTGTCATTTTGGATTTTAGTATTAGGAATGCTCGATCTGCAGTATTTTTGTGTTTTACAGTGGGGAAGACTCAGAGAAGTGAGATGACTTGTCCAGGCTCACAAGCAGGACACAATAGGACTGAACTCAAATTCAGCCTCCCAGCTCCACAGCTTCAAGGAGTTCCACAGATGTATTCATCTCAGTCAGGGAATTCAGAGGCAGCTTTGGACACTTTGCGTCAGGAACCACTGCACAGGTGGGCAGGACCCTCCTTAGGCACAGCCTGTTGTTCCCCTTCTGCCATCTCAGCCCAAAGCTGTCTCTGGAGGTTTCCCTTCTTCGCTCTACAAGTTCTTTTCAGACTACAAGGGAGGACCTCCACAGCAAGCTGTTCTCCTCTCCTGAGTCATGGCCAGAGGTGAGCAGTATCTCCCTGGGCAGCTTCCTCAAGAGTTGAGATGCCCATTTTGTTTTTTCTTGTCTTTTCAGACCAGGCAGCTCCATGCCCCCACTCTTCTCTTAGCTTGGGAAAGTGCACCCTCTTGCATACCCATGGCATTTACTGTTATCTTCAGGTTTTGAAACTGCCCTGCTGAGCCAGATAGGACTGGGGGGCAGGAAGTACATGTTGGGGAGATGTCTGCTTTTCATATGGGATTCTAGGCCATGCCGATTCCAGTGAAGAATTCAGAACAAAACAGAAAACTACAGGTTTGGGTATCCTAAGCCTGTGGGCAACCCCCCCAACTCTGGCAGGCCCAGATTCTGTGGGCCAGTCCCCTACATGAGGAGAAAACACACACAATAGTACTGAGAGTTCAAGAGTTCTCAGGGGACCATGGGAGAGGATCACCTACCTTACTTTAAGGTGACTCTTCATGGCAGAATGAGCAAAGGATTTGTTTCAACAGGTCATGTGGTGGTAAACCTATCCCCTCTGTCTGGAAAAGCTATCTCAAGCCATTCCTCCACTCTCTCCCACAGTAACAAAACCAACATTGACTGAACCATAGAAAGCAACCCATTTACTGGATCATTTCCTCAGCCCACAAGCTCCTACTATGTGCCCTAAGTGTACATACACTAAATGCCCTGCGCTGTAAGCTTGTGACATGCCTTTACCCAGTGAAGCCTTCCCACAGCCCCATAGGGCAATTGCCGTTATCTTCTCCATTTTGAAGGTGAGAAAACTGCGGTTCAGACAGGGCTGGCTTTGTACTCTCAAACACCTTACAGGTGTGTTCCCCTGGGCAGGTGGCTTCTCCTCTCTGGGCCACAGTTTCCTCAACAGTGTAAGAATCACAGGGTTATTCTGAAGAGACTATTAGGTGAAATAATGCATGTGAAGTGTTTAGCACAAGGCTAAGCACAGTATTCAAAAAGGTTAGCTGTATTAAGGGAGACTGAAATTAGAGATCAAGACTTCCAGAACTCAGAGATAGCTTTTCTAGCCAGTTCACAAACAAGCCAATGTCCCAACTGTGACCTTCAGAGAGGGCTCTGGTCTATCCTGGGAGTATGAGAATAAACTTTAACATTTTCCAAAAGCAAGAGGACTTCCTAGGCTTTTGGCAGGAAATCTTAATAATTATACAATTACCAGGCCCTGAAGATGAGAACATGGGGCAATGGGGGTGGGTAAACTGTTCACCTCGTCTCAGTAACATGTGGCCAGACTTGGCAGCAGACTCAGCATTCCTGCCTTGCTGACCAAAGGTCATGGAGCTGAGGAGCAGAAGGCTGGGAGGCCTCTGGGTGAAGGGGATGCTCAGAGCAGGAGTATCAGCCCTGCCATAGGCCAGGCCACATCCCAGCCCATCTGCCTTCAGCTTGCCTTGTGGCTATCTCTGCCCTGCCTCTTTCTGCTGTTGGTGGGATGCTGAGGTCAGGACCAATGGCAGTCAGCTTCCATAATTCTGTGTTCCAGAGAAGCCGAGATCTTCTCTAAGGTATGGTCTGAGCAGAAAATTGTGAATGATCTGTGGGCATCTGAAAAGTACCAAAAGTCACTATATCCCATTTGGTGAGTTTTTCACTGCACAAAAGCACCCAGCTGAGGGGTGAATGGGGCTGAGATGCCGTCCATGCTCTACTCTAGAACCTCTGTGCGGGAAGGGACGCCTTTCTCTAATTCATTGACCAGGAGGGGTCACCTCTTTGTAATTTGCACCAAAGCTCTTATGCCCTAGTGCCGGCCCCGAGGTTGACATGTACACAAACATTGCTTCACAAAGTGAGGGCTATACCCCTGGACCCTAGGTTAGGAAACTGAAACTATCAAGCCATCTTCTCTTACAGTTGATTGCTTCTGAGCCACACTTAAAAGTGCCTGAGTAAAACCCCCTTTCTGTGATTGTTTCAGGACACCTTGTCTTATTTGGGCCCCTGCCCAGCTCCAAGATTATAGCCCAGTCTGGGCACTGCAGCTCACCTTGGCTAAGTAAGACGTGTAACCAGACGATCACCAAGAACAACAGCACACTCACAGGCAGGCAAAGCCAGAAAAACAGGAATGAAAATGTGAGGTCGTTTACCAGCGGCACTATAGGGTACTTCATGGCACACATGTGGCTAGGCAGGCAAGGTACCCTGGGGACCTTGCCGGCTGGGCCTTCCTCTGCTCTCAACCTCTCAACCCTTAATTGTGATTGAGCAGTGACTGTGACAGTGACACTGACGTAACAAGGAAGTTACAGTGTCCTCAGGCAGAGCCTACAGAGGAAGGAACTGAGGGAGAGCTGGCACTAGTGTGCACTGCTGCTGGTGTGGCTGGAGCTGGATCTGTGAGGCCATTTGGCTAAGGATGAGAGCCTAGGTTTCTCAGCGACTGGCCTGGAGTCCATTCCCAGTCCACCTGCCACCAGGTCACCTGCCACCTCGCCTTCCTAAAATGAGTAATTCTAAAATAATAATAATCAATATAAAATATATTGATATATATATATTGACAGGCTCCTGCTGGGAGCCTGTCAGGTCCTCATGCTGTCTTCCAGCTGCATGTGCATACACCCTCACATCCCCACTTGTGGGAGTTGGTATGTGGAGGGGACGACTGTGGCCAACCAGGGAGCTAGTTCCTGAAAGGCTAGCAGCAGGGTAGTTCCAGGAATATCCAGGTCAAGTATTGCTAGGGCTACCACCTTCTCTAAGAAAGCCAAATATCTGGGCTTTATGTGAAATCTGCCAAATTAAAAATGTTGCCTCAAACCTTGCTAGAACATTGCTGGTTAGCTGCCAGGCTGCATTAGGTCTCTGGGCTGCCATTTAAAAACTTTCTAACACACAGTGGGCCCTGAATAAATGGTTAATCTAGAAGCTTCTGCACTGTCCTTATTAGGGGATCCAGTGAGTGATTTCTAAAGGATATCCCAAGTGAGCAAGACACTGTCAAATGCCATAATCTTCTCACACCTCCCCTATCATTTATCTATTTATGAAGCATTTAGTAACCTGCCTGTGGCTAGAACCTCCTGCTCTCCCTAAACTGGAGGGACTGTGGCCAGCTTGGAATCTGGGGTAAGGGGTGGTGCACTGTCTTCTCTAAGAAGGTCTTTGGACCTCCTATCTCCGTCACTGCCAGCAGGTGGACGGACTGGGAAGTACTTATCAAACATGCTGATTCCAGGCTCGCCCTCATGCTGAGTTCAAATCTCTGGGAAGTGAGGTGCACACTCCATACACTGAATACCTAGTGAGGCTTAGGCAGACTTGGGTGTGCAGACCACTGCATCTTGCGGTTGAAGAGCACAGGCTGAAGTCAGGCAGAGTCATTCCAGGCCAGAAAAGAGCTGCAAGAAGTAGGTGGTAGGCCTAGGGAACAACACGGGGTAGACATGGGGGAAGACACACCAGTCCTGAGATAGAGCAGACCAGCCACAGGAAAGAGTGGGCTAGGGAAGTGGAGTGCTGGTGCCTGGAGGTTTATAGGGGATTTCCAACCCCATAGTGGGATAGCGAGTCCCCAGGACATCTGGGGAAATGATATTCAAAAGCGCATCCAAGCTCAGTGTGGTGGCTCATACCTTATAATTCTAGCTACTCAGGAAGCAGAGATCAGGGGGGATAGTGGTTTGAGGTCAGTCCAGAAAAAAGGCTGCAATTCCCCCCATCTCAACCAATATAAGCTGGACATAATGGGGTGTGCTTGTCTACTTGTCATTCTAGCTATGTGGGAAGTATAACTAGGAGGACTGTAGCCCAGGCTGGCCTAGGCATAAACCTGAAACCCTATCTCAAAAATATCCAAAATAGAAAGGGCTAGGGGCATGGCTCAAGTGGTACAGCACCTGCGTAGCAAGCTCAAGGTCCTGAGTTCAAACCCTGACACTGTCAAAACCCCCTCCAAAAGCAAAAGCATCAAGAGTCACCCTGGCCCGGAGGCCAACTCTAGGAGCAGGGCAGTTGGGGCTGGTTTGATTTCTAGGTATTGGTTAGAGCTGAGCAGCAGAGATGGGAAAGAATTGAACACATATTGTGTGGTTATAAAACCTTCCCAGCCACCAAAACAGGGATACTGCACAGTCAGCTTCCCTAGCCACCAGACCCAGCTGGAGGTTCTGGCTCTGGTGGGCAGAACAGGTGTGGGTACACATGCAGGGGACAGCTCTGGCTCCAAGCAGTTCCAGGGTAGCTCTTGCAGAGGCATGCACCACTGGGGTTCTTCTCACTATTTTACATGGCCTACCACATGGGATCTAGGCATCGAGGCACTAATCTGGCCCCTTAGAACCCTGTGCAAAGGGGCAGTGGGGCAGAGGGTGACCTCCTCTGCATCTCCTGCTTTCAGACTGTGCAGCTCTGCCATAGCTCATGTTCTCTACAGGTAGAAAACCCCAGGCTCAGGGTCACCCACCCTCCAGCACTTGCCAGCCTCTGTCAACAGTGTGTTAACCACACAATCTCCCTCTGCCACAGAAGGCCATGTGCTTTCTTTTTAAAATGAACTTACTGTTGAGTACTTCATGAAGCTACAAACCAGGGTGAAAATCCACAGATCTAAATCAGGAAGGGTAGTCATGACTGAACAGTAAATCCCCAGTCTATAACCAAAAGCATACACAAGCTTATTAGATAAGAATCTCCTTAAAATTTAATTGACTAAATGTATTACATTCAATATTCCATGGGTTTCTTCTTGACAAAAGATCGGCATAAATACAAACAAACCTCTGAACCTTCTTCCCTAGAAGACAAAGATCAAACACAGGAGGTGAGGGACACAGGTACACCTTCATATTTACATCTTGCCTATACTTTACAGTTCAGTGCCAGAAATATTTACAGAAAATACAATAAGAAAAAGATCATGTCTTGGCAACATACCGAAATTCATACAAACTGTATATATGGTTTTAAGCAAATAATGATACTGCTTAGTTTTTAGCCACAATTGCCAAGCCCTTCAGAGGAGAAAGATGTCTTGGTCACTGCGGGAGACGAGGACTTAGGAAACTTGATTTGCTTCAACAAATAGTTATTGGGCGCCTACTATATGCAAGGCACTGTGGAATCCCAAATTATACCTTTTCCCTCACCACTAAAAAACAGAGGGCCTGGGGGTATAGCTTAGTGGTAGAGCACATGCTTTATAGGCATGAGGCCCTGGGTTCAATCTCCAGCACTGCAAAAAAAAAAAAAAAA